AACTTCTTTTTTTGAGTTCTTCCTGAGTAGGTTGCTTGCATACAACTCCTGGATAACCAGTCAAAGAACAAAATTTTTCAGGAAATTGTATTTGTCAACAGTAAAGTGGGAGTAGATTCAAGTTAATTTTACTTTTTTCTGGCTTTCCTCCCCTCAACTGCCTCCACCAAAAACTGCCATCACTGAAATACTATTTTGGGCATTCCTAAATGTCAAGTATTTGGTGCCGGTAACAATGATAACTGTGTGAGAGGTTGTCCCATACAGCATCTTCATGAGATGAAATATGTGAATCCCAGGTAATTTCCTCTTGGGTTTAACGAGGATAGAAGCTTCAAATTTGGCCTTCAGTTATTAGGAGAGGAAACTCCTCTTACAGATTTGTTCTAGCATGAGTCCTGCAGCCTTCTAATGCAGTTTGTCATCACTGATTTTAGTAAGAGTGGAGTGATGCCTCTTTCCCTTTTCTCATGCAGATGTAGAACCACTGTTTCAGAGAGCTACCAAGTATTTAGGCAACTCATACAAAGCAGAATATATCTAGCATGAGGTTGCCCAAACCCCCATTATTAGGACTCTGTATGAAAGGTAGGAGACTGAATTTTGGGCCTGGCTGTGAATTGCAGTGGAAGGATTCAAATTTCAGTCTTTGATATCTTAGCTAACCAGTGTGGCTGTAGGTCATAAGATTGGATGACAACCATGTATCATCCTTTTTCTCCTCCTTGTTGTCTCTGCTTTGTGACTAATGCCAAGGTTGCCCTGTGAGTCCAGTCCTTCATTTTTGGATGTACTTGAGCAATTACGAATCAACTAAACCTGCTTTGGTCTACACCAAGCTGAACCACCACTGTTGTAGTAGAATACATTCTGTCCATAGAAAGGTTGTCCACTGGGATATCTTGGAGCTAGAATCTTCAAAATCTTAGTATTCAAAATGCTGTTTGAAGGGAAGGGGTGATGTCTTGGGTTTATCATTGATATCTCTATGTTTTGCTGTTCACTTGTCATTGGTGTTTGGATTTCAGCTTTTGTCTTAGTAACATTTCTTAGTATTTTTAATGGGTAATGTTCTCTTCTAAATCCTTTCCCATATAAATAATTGTCACATTGGGTAAAACTGAACAGATGGTTTCTGCTCATATGTAGAATTCTATCAAAAACTGTTAAATAGACTGTGATGTGAAAGTAGAGTTAGTCTGAGCTGTATTAACTGTGCGGTTAACACAAGCATTAACCAGAACACTCCATGCCAAATATCACGGTACAAATACAGCTCAAAATGGATTTTTACTTCCAGGAACAAAAATGTTCTGCATAGGAGATGTTGCCATTGTTGCTGAAAACTCCTCTTAATGCAAGCATTTTTTTAAATACAGTATCTGCAGTAATAGAATGTTTAAAAGTAGGCCTCATCTCTCTTAATTCTTGGTGTCTAAAAATAAAAAAGTAAAGTGTTTCTGTACCTTCTGTGATAGGTGAGGAGAGACATGTATGTGTGTTGGCCATTCATCCCACTCTAAGTCTAAGCTCCATGGGATGAGCTGTTCTCCAGTGGTGAGCCATTGGACCTTTTTAAATAGCAGCAGTTGAGATGGGTCATGTCCACAATCAATAGGAAACAGAGATTGTCCCATGAATGTTGTGTCCTTCAAACATGTGGCTGTCTTATGGGGGTTCCCTTATCTTTGTTACTGTTTTATTATGGTTTCCAAACTACCCCGTCCATCCATAGAACTTCTCTAGGAGGTTCCTTGTCTGTCTCCAAGCAGTTTCTGTCTAGGTTTAAGGAATGAAGAGGAAAGGAAAATGATTGGGGTAGGATTTTGGTTTTGGTAGGTTTTTGTATTATTTGGGGATTTTTTGATCAAAAATGAGCTTTCTAAATAAGACAAAGGACTTTGTGTCTCCTGATAGATAAAGGAGAGAAAGAAAAAGCAAAGTTCATTCAGTATGTTAGATTAGAAACTGATACCTCAGAGACTTGCTACAAAATAAAAGTTGCTTGGCCAGTAGATTTTACTTAGCAAGGTGAAATTTCAGAGTAGAGGTCAAATCTTTCAGGATTGTGGAGGATGTGCTAGAGAGGTAGGAACTCAAAACATTATTAGGAAAAAATGTGTTATTTCTTTGGAGTGTACCAGTGATCTGCCTTCCAGATGCTATTTACCTGTACATATATTGTCATGCTTTCTAACTACCACTTTTTTTTACATCTTATGCATACATTCTTTTGGTAGACAGTGGATCTTCAGGATTCTTTATTTAGTCTGTTGTGTGTGAGAGAGAAAGAAAGACAGGGAGAGAGAAATTCTAAGCAGTAGTCAAGATGACAGTTGTGAGGAACCGTGAAAAGGGGCCAAAAAATAACAGCAACTCCCAAACCATAACTGCTTTGGGAACAGAACTTTGGCAAAATTAATTCCGTAGATTGCTCATAATGCTTTTAAGAGAGTAGTTTGGAAGGATAAGGACTTCTAAGATTGGGTATATTCCTTCATACTTCCTTACAGAATCTGTTGGGGAAATCTTTTTTAGTTTTAGAAGATGAAGCATTGTGAAAGACTGGCTTACTAACATTGACATACTAAAATAAACTGGTGATTCATATTAGTGGGCAGTGGAGCAGTAATCATTGTAAGTGTACTGAAGGAGTTCGGGCAAGCTGCTAATGTACAAAAATATTCTGATTATAACCAGTTAGAAAACAAGGTTGCAGTAAATGGTATTTGTATCTTCAAAAATTGTGGGAAGATAATCTTGTTGAGCTCTGGGTCTCAGTGCCATATGATATCTAATCAGAAGAGCTTAGTATGGTTCAAAAATAATTGGGCTGTTGGATGTATAGCATTCATTTATACAAGGAAAATACAAACAACAAAACATAAACCTGGTTGTTGGATCCACAGCCTTATTTCAGGGGGGACGTATTTCTACTGGTATTGGAAAAATCAGAATGAGGTAGTAATAAGTTTGTGAGGATATGTATATGTCATATTTAATAATTAATTATTTACAGGAAGCAAAGTGGGCAGTGTTTATTTTTACCACAATACAAGAACAGACATTTAATTAATGTTCAATACCCTGAACATTAATTAAAGACTGCTTCCTTATTCCTTACATCGTGTCTTGCTAACCTGTGAAGCTCAGTGCCATATGATAGCTAATCTGAAGATCTTAATAATATTCAAAAATAATTAAACTTCTGGATGGAGACCATCCTCTCTTATCTTATACAGGAAAAAGATAAACCCTCCAGCTTCAAAGACGAGTTGGTAATGGCCAACACTGAAAAAACTTGACTGTAGGCCATTGCTCATTAAAAAGCTTGTGGATCAGTTGTTGCTGCTGCTAGATTAGAAGACAGGAGGGCAGACAGTCTACTAGGAGATACTGCTTGCTGAAGAAAACACTTTTACAAATGGTTGTCTTGGCCACCTTGGTTTTGCTTTCAAAGCATAAAACCTCCAGGGCCAGGTGTGAAATGGCATAATACGTGCTGCTTTTCTTGGATATTTGTTTGTACATTAAATACTGCAATGGAGCTGTCATCCGAAAAGCAACTGAAGTTACTATTACAGTTACTGGTACATTTCTGTCGTGGCAGTACCCACTGGGATTTTTCTTTTTTTTTTTTTTAATTGGAGGTGTATGTTTACTATGTGTGACTTACATTGGCATTACATGCCTCCTACAGCAGGGAGGGTGAGTGAGATTGCTTGCTTGTTTGCATATTGTGGTGAGTTAACCCTGTCTGAATGCCAGGTGCCCACCAGAGCTTCTATATCACTCCCCTCCTCAGCTGGACAGGCAGAAGAATATATAACAGAAGGCTGGTGGGTCGAGATAAGGACAGAAGAGATCACCATCAAGGGCGAACCAGACTCAGCTTGGGGAAGTTAATTGAATTTTATTACAAATTAAGTCAGAGTAGGATAACAAGAAATAAAACCAAATGGTAAAAACACCTTACCTCCACCCCTCCCTTTTTTCCAAACTTAGCTTAACTCAAAAATTCTCTTCCTCCCCCCTCTCAGTGGTACAGGGGCGTGGGGAATGGAGGCTGCGGTCAGTTCATCACGTGTTGTCTCTGCTGCTCCTTCCTGCTCAGGGGGAGGATTCCACACTCTTCCCCTGCTCCAGCATGTGGTCCCTCCCACGGGAGACAGTCCTCTATGAACTTATCCAGCAGACTTCCCTTGGACTGCAGTTCTTCACAAACTGCTCCAGCATGGGTCCTTCCCATGGAGTGCAGTCCTTCAGGAACACTCTACTCCAGTGTGGGCTACTCTCTGCATGGGGCCACAGGTCCTGCCAGGAGCCTGCTCCAGTGTGGGCTTCCCATGAGGTGACAGCTTCCTTTGGGCGTCCACCTGCCCAGGTGTGGGGTCCTCCATGGGCTGCAGGTGGATCTCTGCTCCACCATGGACTTCCATGAGCTGCAGGGTTACTGCTGCCTCACCACAGGCTGCAGGCTCTGCTTCAGAGCCTGGAACACCTCCTTCCACTCCTTCTTCACTGACCTGGGTGTCTAGACGGCTGTAGCTCTCACATACTCTCTCTTCTGTGGCTGCAATTGCTTCAGCACAGTAACTTTTTCCTCATTTTAAATATGTTATCCCCTGTCACTGACAGGCTTTGCCTTGGCTAGCAGCAGGTCTGTCTTGGAGCCAGCTGGCATTGGCTCTGTCAGACATGAGGGAATCTTCTGGCAGCTTCTCAAGAGAAGCCACCCCTGTGGCCCCCAAACCTTGCCCCTCAAACCCAATACAAATCAACTCTGTGGACACTTATACTTGAACCAGGGAGAGAACACTGTGACTGTCAAATTACTAGCTGATATGAAAATGTCTTACATTAGTTTGCAGAATATAACAGGTTTTTTTCTGTCAGTTTGTAAGAACAATTTATATGGTCAGATTTATTGTATGAATTTGGTTTGGATCTTATGAGATTTAAATTAGCAAGCATCTTAAAGTTATCTGCATTTTTTGCAGGGTATTATAGAGAAATCGAAAGTGAAAGGAATTCCTATCATTATTGATGCAGTAAGTATTTTCCTGATTTCAGTCAGCGGTGTGACATTTAAGAATCTGTTCAGTAAATGTTCTTCTTACTGTGCTTTGCAGGATGGACTGTGGCTCATTTCCCAGCAGCCTTCTCTTATTCAAGGCTACCAGCGAGCTATTCTTACTCCAAACTATATGGAGTTCAGTAGGCTGTATGAAGCCATGGTGAGCTGTTTTCCTTTTTGATATTTAAGTTTAATCTTTTACTCCTTAAAAATAACTAACTTACTGCTGGCTTAAATATTATGTGCTGTTTCTTATATATGGGGGAAGGACTCTTTGGGTTTTTATGCCATGGGATAACAACAATGCATATTCTTAAACAGAGCTCTTTTTTTAAAGAAGACCCATTCTCATGCAACTTTTAGCATTGCAATGGGTATAAGAAAAAATACCTGGAAAGACTGATGATGCTGCCTTTCTTTTTCCCCCCATGCATATGCTGAAGTAGAGTGTGTTAGAATGTGTTGTTCTAGTAGCAAAATATGTACTGTGTATGGAATTCTTGTGTTGTAGCTTAGAGACCCCGTAGACAGTAGTGATCATCATGGATGTGTATTAAGACTCAGCCAAGCCATGGGGAACCTGACAGTTGTTCAAAAGGGAGAAAGAGATCTTATTTCAGATGGAGAGAAAGGTAAGTGAAGCCTTTTGCTTTGAGTAATGTGATTGTTTCATTTTGTTCGCTTTCAGTCGCAGTCCAGTGGTTGGACTATATAGCAATTGGTTGTATTCCTCTGAAGATTGAAATGGAGGGATGGCTGCCTTTGCAGATCACCTTTAGATGATTTGTGTAAATTGATATTTTAAGAGTGCAACTTAACTCATTTACTGAAAAAAGTTGCTGATTTTATTCCTCATTTAAATGGTTGTAACTTATGTTTTACATTACACAGGTATTGAGAAATTTGTCACTTACTAATATGGTTAAAGTATACTTAATAAAATTAGCTGCCTGTCTGATGCTTTTTATGCTGATAATTTACTGTTATCAGTATAAAATTAATTCACAAGTGCCTTCATCACATTTTGACTGCATGGTCTTATTTCAAATACATAACAAGCAGCAACTCTGCTTCTAATTACTTAAATGCTAATCTCTGATAAATGTTTATGCTGCTTCAGAACTGTTTTGTATATACAGTCAATTTTTCATTATTGGGAGCCATGGGAGTATTTTGTAACAGAAAAACAGATGTAATATGACAACTGGTTTGTGCAGAGCCACCTTCCACATACCCCATTAGTGCAGATACTGTAGCAGACTGTGAATCTGGTACCTGGAAGCAAGGTAGTTACACCCACGTGGTAAAGGACTTAGGTCCTTCCAAGTTGCCCCACAGGAAGTCTGCTGCCATATTTGCACCCATGGCAACCTTGATTTGTAGCCTTGGACAGTCTGGCCAGGCTTAAGGGAAGATGAACACTGCCAGAGGATAAATGTCTTGACTCCAGTTTATGCCAGCTAGAGAGCTTTAGAGTGCTGTAGTTGTCTTCTTTTTCTGCTTTTATGTCAACAATGTTCTTTTTATACAGGAATGTTGCTTTCTTATGAATGTTGAGACAACCGGTGAGCGCTTTAGATTGAACACATTGCCTAGTATATGTCTGCTCCCCTTTTGAGCTGTTATTCTTGAAATAAGTGTACTCCCCCTGCCCCCCCCATTTCTGGAGAGAAAGGTCACTGTCTCTAATGTCTCTTGTCATACAGGATTCAAAGAAATAGGAAACAACTGAAACTCTTTACAATTTCAATTTTGAATATTCACGTGTGGCACAAGTTTGATGTATGTCTTGTGTGGTTTGGGGGTTTTTCATTGGCTTTATTTTTTACCCCACCTTGATTTTTGTCTCTGTTGTGTTCTGATATTTTTTTCTATTAGTGAAGTGGCTTTTGATTTGAAATAAAACCAGTTCTGTGCCTTTATAGCTGTTGATTGATGTCCAGCTATAGGCTGCTTTCTTCTTCTTACCTTGTTTCCATCACTGATGCTTTGTCTCCTGAATTATAGACATTACAGGCAGCATTGCTGAGCTGTAAGAAAGCAATTGTCAGGTTTAATGCAAGTTAGAATGTCTGCTACAAAAACTGTTTTTAGAGTTTGCATGACTTGCAAGAAGGTTCCTGAGAATTCTTCAGGAATTATAGACTTCAGCTTCCTTTTAACAAGAATGTTCTTTGGGTCTGGTCTGTCAGTCATTTTTTTTAAAGCTTCTTAAATGCAAAATTACATTAAGAAAGGAGATTCTACTGTGTGCTCTGTGCCACAACATGGAATATGTTGTCACTGACCTTCGACTCTCTCCCAGGTTTTTTAGTCTTAACTTTTTTCATCTGTCTCTTCTTATGATTGGATGTCATTTTTTTCAGCTAAGACAACATGCATCTTGATTCCTGTGTGAGGGAAATCCAGATCATTGGATCAGGCCAATGTCCTCTGAGCACAAACATTATGAAAAGATCTGTGTACTCCTCTTTATTTATCATGTCATCATCCCTTTGTAGTGCTTAAGGCCTACCTGTTTTCAGGCATTTTCTGCTTGAGCTCCTGTGCTTAGCATACTGACACTTTAGTTTTCATATATCACTTTTAAACTTTCTCCTTTAGGAATACACTACATGCATGCTTTCTGGGTAAAAAAAAAAAAGGGGGGAGTAAGGGGGGAAAAGTAAGTCTCAATGCTCTCCAGGAAAACCAGAATTTGAGAAATTGCAAACTTTACTGTGGAGCTTTAGTGTTTTGTGTTTGGCTTTTGTGGAAGGAAGGCTTTTTGAGTGTGCCAGATTTTGCAGTAGGGAAGATTGGCTTGGTGAATACCTTGTAGGATGGAGTGATTGTGGTGGTTATTTTCACAGTACTTTTGTTCATGAGTCTGTAGGAAATTCAGTAGACAACTTACTTCTGTTAGCTGAAGACAAAAAGGGTTACGAGGTGATTTGGTATCAGCTGGAAGTACAGGTGTTGGTGAAGGATTACTATCAGCAAATAGCTTCGAAATCTAAGCAGAGAGGCTCAATAAATTCTCTTTGGAAGCTGAGGCTTAATAAATTCAAAGTAAGGCAGATTTTATTAGTAGACATAGAAATTAGCTACTACAGTAACATGCCAGGGACTTTGGCAGATTGCTATACTGTGAAGTGTCTGGACACCTTTGAGGTTTGTTTTTGCAGATCAGATTAGCTGGTGCAGGTGGTTACTTACGACCTCAAAGTCAGTACCGAATCACATACATGGCCTCTGTGAAAGTAGTAGTAGTGCTCCACTATAAAGGAGGTTTTTCTATAATTTGTCTTCATTTCAGTCATGAGCTGCCAACTGCCCTGTAAACATAATCAACAAAGATTTTAAATTAAGTTTTATATACTCTTTTTCTCTTTCCTTTTGCAATTTCACATTATAGCTTGGTCTACAGTTGTTGATTCCCTGCTCTACAAAGATGAGCTTCACCATGCTCTTGGTAGGTGATATCAGTGCCATCACTGACCAGGGTAGGAATGAGTACTCAGCCTGTGGGTAAAAGGTAAGTCAGCTTTTATTCGCTATGGCACAGCTCTCTAAGGTTATTATTTTATTATTCTTTGGAGAACTGGTCAATAATAAAGTGTGGTTATACCAGTCTTAGTTCCTAACATGTTTAAAATTTGGTTAGGTCCTTGAAGTAGAGGATTTGGATTTTGATTTTTAAACATTATAATGAGTTCCTCTGTATTTTCCCCAGCGCCTTTGTTTAGCCCTCCTTCCTTCCAAGAGGCAGGCTTTATGGGTAACCATCCTGCTACTGCCTGTGACTATTTTTACCTGAAGTCAATAGCCAAATACAGTTTCTCTCCAGTTGCCCAGCTGTTACTATGGTCAAGAGAAGCAAAGAAGCATGTAGGAGGTTATACTGATTACTGACTGTGGGGCAAAAAGCCAACTCTTGCCCTAACTCCTCAAGCAGTACTTCTAATTTCTGACATTCATCTCCCTATACAGCTGTAAAGGAAGCTATTCAGTGCTTGTCACTCGGGGGCTCACTCCCAGCTGCTGAGCAAATCTTGCCTGAATTTTTAACTGAGAGGCAGCACCTTCATCTCCAGTCCTGCTTCTGCAGAGTGAGCAAAACAGGGAGGTCATGGTTCCTGTCCATTGTGCCACTGTGCACTCTACTGCCCATGCAGCCCAGCCTGCCGTCTCCCTGGCACTGCTCACCTATCATCATGATTATCCCCTGGCTCCTGTGCCTGTCCAAGAAAACTAATAAAAAATTTGGGTCATTTTCTTTTAACTTAAATTGCCTGGTATCCCGCATTCAAGGACTTACCTAAGTTTTAAAAATGTGATTAGGGAATATAAAAGTATAAGCACCCTTTATATAAAAGCCAACTTACATTTTCCACATCAGTTGAGTTATTTTTCCAGCCAAAGTCATTAAACTTGGTTTCCCTGTCTGTATGCACTCTGGGACATGTTTCTGGGACTCCACAATCTCCAGCTATGTGCTTTTGTGAAGTAACTTGCAAAAGGAAAAAGATAAATTTCTTACTAGTGTAAGTATATGTCAGGTCAGAGATGTATATTGGGATTTTACTCAAAATCTCATAAATGGTCTAAATCAGAATCTTGCATTTGATGGAGCAAAATGATCCTTGATAGCTACATTATTTTACATAGAAAATTGAAATCTTAAGCCTTTTAATTAAACTAGAATGCGTTTGTTGTGTAGGGTGGCTCATGTTAGCTGATTAATCCAGTTGGGTCGTAGCAGAAGTCAGAATGGCTGCATGTTTCATACATGGATTCCTGAGCACATTAGGGTGAGCGTGAAACTCCTTCTCTGTAAGAGGAAAGCAAGTGCAAAGAATTGTTCCGGATGTCTGAGATTCAGGAGTTAAATTTTAATCTCTGGGCTGTCTTTCAGTCTGCAGTCCAGTAAATGTGATGTTTCGCAGGTTCTTTAGCCTTCTTTACCATCATCAGTACTACGTGTTTAGCCTTAACTAGCTATCTCATATTTCACATGTTGTGTTCTAAATACAAACGTAAAAGAAATGAATCTCTGGGATGGTTTTTTTCACTACTGTGTGAACATGGTGAATCAGGAACAAGCAGACATACATGACTTTTTATACTACTTCTGTTTTCTGAGTGTGATGTATCTAGGAGCTGGCATTGTAAATGGTGCTGCCTGTGTACAGCACAAAATTTGTGCTTCCCAGTTAACTTACAGTGTTTGAGCTCAGCAAAACTGCTACATTCTGATTTTTTTCCTTCAAAGAGAGGACAGCTATTTTCAGTTACATAACAGACTGTTGGTTTTTGTTTTGGTTTGTTTTTTTTTTAAGTTAAGCATACAATACCCATAAATAGGTCATTCTTCTGGACTTTGATCTGCCAGCAGATTTTGGGCTGGGAGTTCTTTCAGCTTAAAATTTGGCAGTGGTACAGTTAAGTGTGACATTGTGGTCTGAATGCTTTCCCAAATTCTAACGCGTATCATATCTTCAAGGAGTGCTGAAAAGGGAGTGATGGTATCTTATTTTATGGCCTGAAATACATTAAACATAGAGCTACTAAATGACTTGGCCATAGTTGCCCAGGTCTGGGGCAGAGTTTTGAATTGTTTGGAGCCTAAAACTCTTGAATTTCTACTTTCCAATATCTATCAGTATGACAGCCTGCCATTTTTTGTTTCTATTGCATTCATATTTCATTACAAATTATTTCCATGGAATTAAGTACACAAGAAATCCATGTGACTATATGTGAGGGATGTGTTGTATTTGCTGCCTAAAGCTCTGGCAGTATTTATATGCTATTAACTCACTGGGACTGCGTTGAAACTATTGAATAGAACTGTGGTTATTCTGACTAGCAGATCTCCTTGCCATACTTCATGGAGGCGTTTCTTCACCCATGACGTTTTTATTTCATCTAGCCTTTTCTTATGATAGTATGTGTGTGTTGCATGGATAAGTGCTGGGGAGCTGGGTATTTTTTTTTCTGCAAAGTTACTTAGCATAAAAAAGTTTTCATTAAAAAACTGACTGTTACTTATACTGAGGTGGGTTTTTTTGATTCATCACCCTGTGAAATAATGACATCAGATTTGGTTGCCCAGACCTATTAGAAAACAAAACAAGACACCCTGTCCCAACACCCAAGCCACCTTGGCCAACATTAATTTTATGTTTCTCTCTCTTATGGTCTGTCAGTTGAATTATAGCTGAAACTCTCCATTATTTGGATCGGACTGGTGTCTGACTACTTGACCTGAAGTGGCCTTGGTTGTTGCCTTTCAAAATCGACACGTGATGATTGTGGTGATTTTAGTCTTTGTAGTTTCCTTTTTGTCCTATGTCCAGTCATCTTGGTCTCCTCAGCTATTCCAAGAACCATGTTTTCTAGGTTTTCTGATGTATATGTCCATCCCTAGTTGAATGTGCTGCAGCCTCACTGAACAATGGACCAAAAATTGCTTCATCCTCCTGTAAATACATAATTCCACATATCTCCAGGGAATAGAACTGCCCACCTTCTCAGCATCATCGCTGTCTGTTCGGTCATGTCCATCTAATCGAGGTCTTATAACTTTGCCACTGGTTGTCACTGCTCAGTGCAACATAAGGACATCAATCCCCTGGTCCTTAAAGAACTGCTGGAGATGACTTCACAGCAGGGCACAGACATTTAGTGGGGGATGTTGCACTGGGGGAGTGGGAAGACAGCAGTTTATTTTATTTTTCTAAGAGAAGGCTGGGAAAAGCCATCCAGAAGACCTTGTCCTATGCTGATTTGGCAGTATGCCAGTTTGTCTTGATGGTAGTTGGGATTCCTTCTTTTGTTTTAAAAGCTTTTAATAGTGACTGTAATTCAGAGGAATTTTTAAATCCTTTTTCTATTGCCTGTTGTAATGTTCATCATCCTTTTATTTTGAGATATTCTGTGATCAGCTGAGCTTCTGCACAAAGAATTGCTGAAGCGTTATACTTTTCCCTCCTCATTCAAGTGAATTTCCTGTAGTTCTGCTTCTTTGAAGGTATTCCATGGATTTGTTTTCCAGCATCTCTGTGCAGAGTACAAAGGTCTGCTTTTGTTGTTGCCTGTGAGGTAGTCTGCACATATTTGAGACTTACTTTTTTAAAACCACAAACAAAAGACCACTTTTTTTTTTTTAGCAGAGTATTATAATTGGCCTAGTTTGAGGAGAGCTTGCTTTCCTGTACAGCTCAAAAATGACTGGAAGGTTGTGGGGCTACAGAATAGTGGCAGATGGTGACATACAGCTAATAAGCAGGGGCTTGTGCTCAGCTGTCAGTCAGAAGGCCCCAAAGCTTTTGAACAGAGGATTTCCATCCTGCCTCCTGCCAGGAGTTCAAGCCCTCAAAGTGAAAATCCTGTGAGATAGCATCTTCAAAGTAGTAGAATTAGATGTAATTTCTCCAAAGCACTGTATTTAAAATAAAAATAAGAATAAACCATGCACCTAAAAGGGCATACCTTCTTCAGATAGCTAACTCAGAAGGGCATTTAACTTGTGAAATTTGACATTAGCTACTGCTCACTGAGAAACACATCCAGAATCTTAATTTGAGAGGGGGAGGGGGAAGGGGAGAAGAGTGATTGGGAAAATGAACTGCTGGCAATGCTGCAGTGGTGTCTGTTGTGTTCGTGGTGACTAATGAATCTTTGTCCTCTCAGTGGCAGCAAACACACACAACTGCCTGGCCTCACAAGCCCAGCAATTATTGCTGGAAGAATTGGTAGGAAATGGAAGTGAAGTACAATTCTTTGCTGTTCCAGAAATGAACTATGCTAATGGACTGGAAGGGGTTTATTGGCATTATGTAGTTTTTTACTGCTTGCTATTTAAGAAGATTTATCTGCAAGTCCTTCAGTTTTGTTCAGATTTTTCCCATGAGTTTGTAAGAGAAAAATTGCATTTGAAAAATATGGGTAGTACTCCCTCTAAACCATCTGGGCTGCTCTGTTTATACACCTTGGAGAAACCCAGCCCAGGTGACTTGGGGTAAGAGCTGTTCTCCAAGCAATGTCTTGCTTTATACTTTGTTTGTGTATTTGGTGTGCTCAGGAGCACACAACAGTTGTGTGCACAGTCCTGAACCTGAGTAACTCTGCAGTAGCTGGCTGGAGATGCTAAGGATCACTACTTGGCCACTGATGATTCTGCCAGCTCTTCTATTCTCCTAGGAGAGGAAAATAAATTTCTCCTGGGTTTTTTTTTCAGAGCCAAGCAAGAAGAAAAGCTAAGGGTAGGTACACAAGAGAGTTTGGAGAAGAGTAGCAGAATCTATGCTGTTTTCTTCTTGTATGCCTTAGGTATCCTTTAGGCTTCCTGCCTGGGCTTGTTAAGAGTGGAGAACAAAGGAGTTAAATGTAGTGAAACCACTTGCATCTTCTTCATAGTTAAAGCTCCACAAAGAGATCAGTTTGACCAAGGTCCTTTATATATTTAAAATAGAAATGTAACATCAGAGCCTATCCACAGTGACACTGCTGACAGAAACATACATGGATGCTGAGGACACTTGATTGGCAGAAAAAACAAATCTGTCTTGCATATGGTTTTTACAAAGCCTGACGAAAAGGCTGTTTTCAGTAAAATACCTTTGTGATGGGCATGGTAGAAGATTCGAGATTTTAGTTCTGTTTTGCATTTGCTCTTTGTGAAATGCCTTGGTTTACATTCACAAACTCTGAAGGTCAGAGACTCTGAAGGATTGCATTTACGCAATGGCTTTGTGGAGGGACCTGGTCCAGTTTGGGTAATGGTTCATCATGGCACGTGAATCACTGAACTCATCTGTGCAGGCTGAGTGAAGTGGAAAAAGTGTGTATATTGTGTGATGTTATTTGTAAAGTATTAAAAGGTAATCAGAAAAGTATTTTTAAAAATGTTGATGCAATAATTTTTCTTTTTTAAGAATAGTGTACTTCAGTCTGTGCTGCTGTCTCTCATTAGTCTCTCACCTGTTCATTGCTGTTTGCCTCAGAGGTTAATAACCCTTGCTGCAGTGGTGTCATTGTAAATGGAAGGAAAAAAGCACCTGACTTTGTTTTATGTTTGTCTGTTTGTAGTACTCGTATGCAGTCATGAAGGAAGCAGCCGGAGATGTGGTGGACAGGGGGACCTTCTTTCTGGTTCTCTTGGAGTCTTAGCACACTGGGCATTTGTTGCTGGAGCTGAAAAAACAAATGGGTATGAATACTAATAATTAACTTAATTGTTATGAGTTTGTGTTCTGCTGTGGCAACTGTTGTAGACCCGCTGTATAAATTTCCAAATGAAATCAGAGTCATTGGTACAAAGATATCCATGTACTTTTAAAAAATGTTATGTTCTAGAGCAGTCTACATAGTAATAATTTAATAAGACAAACCCTTCAGTAATCTAACATCCCCAAGTCTGAGGCAGAAAAAGAGCATGAATTTGGATCTATCCCCAAGGACATTTATGTATGAGATACAAGTTTTCAAAACAATTGAATGTAGGCTGAAAGTACGAAGAATAAGTAAGTGGTAGTCACTGGTAGTAGCATCTCTGTAATTCAAAAAACATGTCATTTGGCTTTGTTTTTGTAATTTGGTGGATCCTTCTGCACTGTACCTAAGTAATTCAGTGGGGCAGGTAAGTTGAAACTTGCAAGTAAAATACTGTTTCAAAGAGTGTAACTCTTTTAAAGGCCAAACGGCAGTCCAGTTTATTCGTGCATAAAGCAGCCATGTAGCTGACTGTTGGCTTTTTGTTAAATTACATCAATTCCTATCTGACTAGTTGGTCCATATAGTCATGTACTCTTTCTGTGAAAGCAGCTGCTTTAAATGAAGTTGAAAGGAACCCTGATAAAAGCAGTCAGGGAATTACAGTCCCTCTTCTCTATAAGTAATGAGCTATGAAAGTTTGAGGAGTGGAGATCTTTTGTAGTCTTTTTGGATGCTGCATGCAGATGCACACAATTAGATGTTCATGGGAGTTAACTAGTCTGTTTTACCACAAGGGCACTGCAGTAGGTGCCCCAGGAGGAATGAGGGACCAACTGAACCACACTTTATAAAATTCTGAAATCTAACATAGCAATCCCAAAATGGAAGAGTTGCAGCTGTCACTAATGGAGGAATTTTGTTTTTATTCGCTAAAAGGGTGACTTCATTTTTGCTTGGGGTACAACAGAGCAGTTTTAAATTGTTAGAGAGATTAGCAAAGGCAGCACACGTTCTCCAGGCTCTCCTGACTTGAACTCCTGTGGCTTTTCCAAACAGCTTGCTCAGAAACTCCTTTATTTTATAGATGAAGGAAAAGTATAATTGGCATCAGCATTACATTGTGTCTCCTGTGGTGGTGTTAAGGTGACCCTTCACAAACACCTGCTGTACCAATCCTGTCTACCTTGTGTGTTTCAGGAGAGGAGGAGCTTCTTGGGTTCAGTGAGTCAGGGCATCTGCTTGCAGACTGCACTGCAGGCAGTCCAGCCAGTCTTGCCACACTTGTGCCTGGTTCTGTCATTTCAAAACAGGTCTGTGCAGAGTGGAATTCTGAAACAAGTGTTTTAACTGCCTTGAGCCCAGAAGCCTGTGCACAGCTCTTGTTTCAGAGCAGTATTTGGGCATCCAGGATTGACTCTCAGAGTGGCTTAAATACTCCTGCACCTTGATGAGTTACATGGAGTTGCCCCTTAAGTAACACCTAATTGTAAACTCATGTCCTGCTTAGCCTGTGTTTTACATCAGGATCCTTCACAAAACTCTCACTTGGCAGAGTTGTCAGTAGGTCCCTAGTGACTCACAGGCAGTGATGCCTCAGCTATGGTTGAGCTTTGTGAGAATTTTAATCAGCCAGAACCTGGAGTGCAGCACTGGCTGCTGAACTATTCTGCAGTTGCTTTCTGTTGTAAGGCAGCAAAAGTGACTCCCATGGCCCAGCCTGTGAAAAGGTGCTCTGGAGGTGGCAAGACTGTGCTGGCTTCTCCAAGGGATGTTCAGTGTTTGAGGTCTGGGGCTGGGTACACTCTCTTAGGCCGTTTGTAAGCACGTAGGAGACATTAAGGCAGTGTGCCTAATTTCCGTCGTGGGCTATGGTGGTCACTGTACCACTTTTAAGCTGGTATCATGAGGGCTCTGGAGCAGTCACTATGGCCCTGTTAAAAATCATCTCTTGCCTGCATCCCCACATCCTTCCTCACCCCCTGCAAGACAAAACTAAATGGAGTTACCCAGCAAATGGAGAGGAAAGGGAGTTAAAACGCTGCCAGGTGATATTTGATCTTCTTCTGCAGGAAAGGATGAAGCATCAAATCAGTAAAACTAGACATGGATCACCTTCTTCCCCACTTTTTAAGCCTGTTTTCCTCTTGCGTCCTTTGGCCCTGGTTTCTGAGTCAGTCACATGCTATGCCACGGATAGGGAAGTATTTGTTAAAAAAAATTCAGACAAAGATGTTCTGCAGTGAGTCTGAGAAACAGATGTTTGCTTGAGAGGCTTTCCTGGCATTTAGGGGTACAAAGACGATGTCCACCACCTTATGGATTGCACAAGAGTGTTTGGATTCTCTGGATAATGTTGTTGTTTTTTGGTTTTTTCCTTTTAGTCAAAATCCCTTTCTAGTGGCTGCATTTGGAGCTTGCTCTCTTACGAGGCAGTCTAACCACCAAGCCTTTCAAAAATTCGGACGTTCAATGACAGCCTCTGACATGGTTTCAGAAGTTGGAACAGCTTTCAGCAAACTTTACGAAACCTGAAGCCAAAGCAGCAGAGAAGAAGAAAAGGAAGAACAATGACTGCAAGAGTAATTACATGTACCGTAGAATTTACATAAGTAATGCACCCTTTCAAGTGCTGTAGCAACATTGGTATGTTAGGTAGATCTTTTTTATTTTTAAGAATAGAAAAATATGATTAATGTAGATATTTTTTAAGAGTTTGGAATACAAAAATGTTTTGGCTGAAATAAGCTGTAGTTGCAGATCTGTTATAATATAATAAAACTAAACTGAAAGTATTCCTCTGTTCTTTTTGATAGTTATTGAGCAATAACTAAAGTGTGAACAGCAAAAAAAATGCACTTGATATTTAGATAAAATTCTTCCACCAGCTCAACTGAATTTCTTGGACTGCACCAAGGTTATCATGTTGTCATTCTTAGAACCTCTGTCTAGAATTAGCTATTGCACTTCAGTTTTTTGCCATGCTAGTATATTAAGAAGCAAAAAATAAGCCTCTTTGGAAAGGGAGTGCATGAGAGTTGCTGTAGATTTTGAATGTAATTAGTTGCCTTTTCCCATTCCCGGTCCCAGAGGCAGCATTCATTTGGACAAGGCACCCCTTCCTGCAATGTCTTATTTTGTTGTTTTTTAAAAGGTCCCCCCGTGGCAGAATAGGATATACTGTAGGTATCTCAGCAGCAAAATTCATTAAACGGTAATTAGGCTTACCTGAAAAAAAAATTAAAATTCTGTTTCTTTATCTAGTCTTGACTCATCTGGAACTCAATGTGATAAATTTGTGAAATTATCATTTGGAGAGGTACTAGGTGGGGCAAGAAACTCAGTGATACCAAACAGAACTGTCAGACTCTCAGTGATCATGGAAGAGTAAAGTGCTTTTAAAACTCCCGTTGCCTGCTGGGTTAGAGCTCAGAGAAGACCAGCACACAGATCCATAGGTGGATAGTAATTAGCCAGCAGGAATAAGAGTTGAAGGCAGCCCACAGCATGTACCTGTACTGTTGTAGCAGTGTGCAGGCAGCTGTATGCTGCAGGTTAAAGGCAGGAACAGAAAATGGTGGTTGGTGTCTGAGCTTCAAGTGCAGTACTTAGTACTTGGTACTTTTACTTTTTTAGAGCACAGAGGCTTTTTGTCTGATCTTTGTGAGACAGGACACTGTTAGGGCCACACTGATCTGGCACGTTGGCAGGGCAGGTAAGCGTTAGGTATAAAGAGGAACTCGTGTGGGATTTTTGCACACTACGATTTGTTAAATTTTTGGAGATTCAGTCAAAGCTCGTAGGGACTAAACCAGTATGGAGAGGGGGACAAGTTCATGCCAAGAACACTTAAGTGGGTACTGCCCTTGAGCCTCCAATCCAGCTCCAGGTGTTTATGCTCATTAAAGCACAGAACAAGCACATAACGTGTCTGGTTATTGCAATAGATGTTACCTGTTCACCACAACCACTCCTGTGCAGGGCTCCAGCTCTAGGTTGGCATGTGGTGTCCCACAGACCAGTCAGACTGTGTTCTCATACCTTCAATAGCTGCCTGCAGAAAGCACCTGGAATCAGAAAAGCTGCTCCAAGTATTTCCTTTCAGCCCTTAGAGTTGATATTTCTGGATGCACTGTGACTACTACCTCACCCCGATGCATTTTTGTTTTTCTTTCTAAACCAGTTACCTATTTTTAAGATAGGTTTTTAAATGTTTGCTCATGTTGGTCTATGAGGGTTCACAGACTACTCTTAAGAGATGAGGTTTTAGTGTTTAATTTAAGCAGTTTTGTAAACTGTCTGCATCTTTGGGGAAACTTAAGCTACTGTTATTTTTCCCCCTAAATCTATTTGAGAAGCCTGACTACTTTTAAATTAAATCAGCAAGTTAAAACTGATTTTAAAACAGCTACTGGCTTTTTTTTTTTTTTGTATTTAGAACATCAGTGGTACTATAATCTAAATGGCATTTGTAGGCGAAGTCAATCAATTAACAGAGCTCAGTACAGATTTCAACCTGCCGTGTTGGTTTTAAATCTACACAGAAGTTGTAACTGTTACTCACTAATGTATACAAATTGGTACCTTTTTTAAACATTCTGGAAATGTAGCAGTTTCTTTGGGTAGGAAATAAAAATAATAGCAAATTGACTGTGTGGACTTTGTTTGGTGTGTGCTGATGACATTTCCCACAGCTGAGCTGCCTGCTCGCCTTTCTTTCACTCTAGTTTGCTACAACACTGCCACTAGAAGAGTGCAGTACCAGCTGTGTCAAATTAGCACCTGCCCCAGTGCTGGTGAAGGGACACCTCCATCTTTTCTCTAAGTACCAATAATGCAGAAAGAGAACAGAAAAATAGCTACACGTTTTATTCCCAACAGTAGAAAAAAAAGCCTTTATCCTTTGGAACAGACAATTTGAAAGTACAATGCACAGAAGTGCCCTGTAGATGAAGCCATGTTCTGCTTGGTTTTTACCTTTTCATAAATTAAAGTGCCTATGGGCACTTTAAAGAAAGTGTGCCCATAGGTAAGTACCAGCCCCATATCAACTCAGGCCCTAGAACACAGGTCACTTCACAGGTAAGAGAGGCCTCTGCACCTCTGCCTATAGCCACAGCAGCCAGGGACTGTTTTTAATGCAAACAATGACAAAAGCAAAGGTAACTGAACAGGTAATAGCTAAGCATCCTAATTTTATCTTCCCAATTATGATGGAGAGATCCTGAGTGTGCTGCATTCCCAGTGCTAGAGAAATCTCAGTGTATTCTGTGCAAAAGCAAACTATATACCTCCATATTACAGGTAAAGGTCTCACAGGACCAAACCAGCACCACTGCAATAAGGAAATACTTCAAGGCTAAAAGTGTCCCCCACTTCTCTGTCTGAGAGGAACAGAATTGTTGAACCAACAGGCATAAAACTAAGTGTTTTCACCCTCAAAGACAGGCCTAAGTTCTTGCCTCTTCCTTCGCTATGTTTAATTCTCAGTGTCAGCTCAGCAGAAGAGGGTGCAAAGGCAGATCACAGAGCACTTGGAGCTGGAACATTTCTGCAGCAGAATATGCCAGTGTTGGTGTAAATCAAGCTGCTTCCTTGCTGCCCTGCACTCTGGATGCTTCTGCCATGTGTGCTTCAAGGCCTGTATTTATTTACCCAAAGGCAGTGCCAACAGTTTTGCTCAGATTATTGTTGTTAGCCGTTCTATTCCACAGACTTTATTTGGAAAGAATTAATATTTACAACAGTTGCCAAAGCAGCTGAAATAAAAACCAAGTCCAAAGATGAGGGATCAGCTTTGTTTCTCAGTCTGCTGCTCTGTCTGCCCTCCTTCCACAATTTCCCAGGTTGAAACAGCAGCTCTGTCCTGTAAGAAAAAGTATCCAGGTTAGTCCCAGCATGTGGAGGTACAGGTTTTTAAACAAGATTCATACAGCAAAGCTACTAATCCAGTTAGTTAGGCAAAGGAGGTGGTGATACCATCTCAGAGGAATGCCACTGCTACTAATAATGCTCAGAGCTGTAAAACAAACCCAGATAATCCTTCCCAGCTAAGAAGGAAGAAACACACATTAGAAATGTCACCTCTTCAGTGTGGGATGCTGCAGTGGGGTGTAGACTTTCACAGGAGTAGCAGATTCTGCTCAACTCCTGCAATTGCATTTTCATGTTTGAATGGCTCATGTACATGGAAAACACTTATGGTCAATACATGAGAATATGTATTGATCACCTTCTGAACTTGGGGATAGTGTAATACGGTCATATTTTTGAAAGACAATAGTACAGTCAAACGGAATATTTCTGACTATTTAGATCCAGCTGTTTGTAATGGTCACAAAGTTAATCTGAATATGAGCTCTGACTCATGAGAGATGCTGGGATACATTGCTGAATTTTTTTTATATTAAAGTGAAAACTATTTTTGATGCATAAATACACAATTACTACATTTCACTTAGCGGCACAGCTGAGCTTGTGTTTCAAGCATGCTATAATGACATGAAAAGACAAATGGGTATTTTTTTAATCAGTTTGATACAAGTTAGGTAACTTCAGCCAACATCATCTACATCAAGCATCCTGAGAGAAGAAACTACAAACTTAGAATCTGAAGGAGAAATTACCCTTTTTACAAAGCTGATTTTTAAGGAGATTGAGTTGGTTCTCAAGCCACCCCCTCCTTGCCCTCCCTCAAACCAGGGGTGTTCCTAGTCTACTCTGCGTGTAGATGAGGCTTGTCTGCTTCATCTGTTCTGCTGCTTTTCCTCCTGCACATGGACTTGAGAAGTTGCTGGCTTACTTGAGCTTCATGTGACAGAGTGGAACCTGTTAGCAGAGGCATTGCTGCATGCATATCATCAAGCTCAGAAGTTCTGTGGCAATGAGAGGCTGGGTAGCACTTACTAGGCAAGCAGCACCCCCCTGGTGGGCTCTGTGTTACCAAGGCAACTTTCTAACAGCCGACCCCAGACAAGCAGACTCGTGCTGAGCAGGAAGGTGGGTAAGGCCATGTCTTGTTGCATGTGTGCTCTGGTGAGCCTGTGTCAGGAACTGCAGAGCTGCATGTTCACAGGACTCTTTAGGATTTGCAAAAGCAAGATGTGAGCAACCTTCACAGCACACCTTTGGATACTTCCATGGTATCAGCAAAAAAAGCAGGACTTCAGCTTTGGATGTGTGCTGTGTGTGCTCATCTGTGCGTGTGTGCTTTGTCTTCTGGCACAATCTCTTCTAGGAGGAGCAGGAGACAGATTATGCTGAGCTTCAGGTTATTAAAAACATTTTTTAAATAAATGGAATGGTCTGAATCCTGGTTCTGACCAATTTCTGTGAAGTTTTCACATGTAAATCCCTTTAAAAACAAAGCAAAACAAATCTGCACAAGGATGGAAATGGGGCTGTGGCTGTTTTGCCAACAGATCAAAAGGCAAGCTTCTTCTCCAAGACTTTGTCTCAGCACAGTTGTTTGGATTTTCAAACTTGCTTGACAGATGAGTGGAGCGAGGATTTACAAACAAGTTAAAGGAGGCAGATATTGCAGCTTCTCAGAGTATTCCTTTGCTTTCACAGCTGTAGCTCACCACCACAGTGCTTCGGCGCTCACCCAGTTTGTATCGCACGCTCGCTTTCATCCGAGACCCTTAGACAGTGACCACGCTCCACAGCTGTTTTTAACAGGTGTGCTGACAAGTGACAGCTCTCACATTGGGCAACCAAAGCAGATGTATACTGTCCCTCCCTGATGTCACTGTGCTTTATATCCCTACCAGCAAAAGGATGGAAGCAGACTAGGCAGGCTCAGTTCCCCAAGTGAGGGAAAAATAAGCAGCATAAACTGGAGGGAGGGAAAAAGACACTGGAGAGAATACAAGGATTTGTCTGCACGTAAGGAGCAACACTGACCCACCAACGGGTGGAGCAGAGGTGAGAAGGGCAGTGAACAAGAGGAACTGGAAGAAGCAGGGCCATTACAGAAGTAACACAGCTCCTTGAAACCAGGAGAAGGCAGTAACACAATGGATGGGCTTCTCTTGAGCAGGAGGTGCCACTGAGGTAACGGAAAAGAACAGTGGCATTAGGTGTAGACTAAAAGTAGAAAGCAGGATGGAGAGAGGAGTGGTACAGGAATCAGCAAAGTACTTGTGGCTCAGGAACAGTTGGGAATGGAGCTGCTGAAGATGGAAGAGGCTTTCTCATGAGGACTTATTTTTGGTGGGGAATTTGGAGAGGGTAGAAGGAAGGAGTTATTTTTATAAGTCATCTCAGTTCACTTCCCAGTTCCTTTGCAATCTTTTTTAAGATTGCACACATTACTCATACCTTTCCTTCTGGATTGAACTTGGGCAACTTAGAGATTTCTGAATATTAGATTTTCAATGGCTAAACAGCACGCCCTTAGTAACTGCAGAAGTAGGTACAGCTTTCATGGAGACACCAGGCTGAGGGGGAGCAGAAGAGAAGGCAGCAATACAGCCAGACAAGGGCTTGACTTCCACCTCCTGCTACTGCAGTCACTCAGGGAGCAGGAAACAACACTGAAAGCTGATGAAGGGGAACAAAGGGCAAAAATAAGTGTTCTCTTAAAAAGTGATTAACAGTCTCTAAAGAGGGTTACTGTCTTCTACCTTTAGCTGGATTCCAAAGGCAGCAAGGTCTTCACGAAGACTGTCACAAGCCTCCAGGAGGGGTTTTCTCTCCAGCATTAACTGCTTCCTCTTTTCCTTCTGCTCTTGTTTGGATTCATTAACTCTTGGAGCCCCCTCCGTTGGCACATCATCTGCTGCTTCCGGCAGAGCCAGCGCATAGTGACGGACCCTTGTGCGGAACCTCACAAGCTCGTCAAGGACATTAGAGAGCACTGCAGAGTTGTCTCCTCCCACAGCCACCTAGAAATCAAACAGCATACTTTACAAACATCTGAGAATGGTATTTAAAAAAATCAACCCCAACTCAGCAGCACACATTGAGGCCTCATCACCTCTCTTGATTGTACATCTTCCATATATTGGAATATATGGACTAATATGGAATATATGGACTAATGCTGGACAAAAAGTTACAGTGGAGTCACATTTGGAAGTAGTTCAGTGTATTCCTACACAGGAAAGCATCTATGTTGGAGGTCAGCAGAGTGCTCTGACCTGAACATAACACACTGCATAACCTGAGTGTGGAACTCATCACCACAGAAAACCTCCAAGATGCCAAAAGTGTGCATAAGTTAAAACGGGGTTAGACAATTTAATGGAAGAAAGACCTGGCAACAGGAATCCAATACAGCAAGGGAAGTCCAACCACTAGCTCAGACAACCACTAGCTCTTTCCTGTTCAGTACTTTGCTTTGAACTTTTTCCTCCTTTTTTTCTCTCCCCACTCCTGTCTTTCCATGAATTAGACATGTAAGGGGGCTCCCCCTCGCACCTCAGTGCACTCCCCTCCCCACACCCCACCATGGCTCAAGGCAGAGCAGCCCCTTTCCCCCACCCCTGCTTTCTGCAGAGGAGTGGGACCTCAGCTCCTGCTCTGTGCAAGGGGGTCACAACTGCAAATATTCACACAGCTAGCGAAGCCAGCCTGGGTGCCACCATCAGAAAGAAAAGGAAAAGCTGGGGGAAAGCCAGACACATAACAGGACCAAACTAAAGGCC